CTTGGGATTGATGTCAGTCCTTCCAGGAAGAAATCCCTCTTGCCTTTGAACAGCTCCTGCAGTTTGAGCAACCTGCACATCAAGCTTCTTCATGTGAGAGTTCAGACTCTCAATTTTTCCATTCAGGTCTTGATACAGCGAATCTAGCTTGCCATTGAAGTTCACTGTCATCTTCTGCTGTCCTTCAAGTACCTGCTCCAGCATAGCTTCCATTTTATTGTCTTGTGGAGGTGCAGTTTGGTAGGAAGAAGAATCAAAATTCCTGCTGTTTTGGTATGGTTTCTCAACTTCAGTCTTCTGGAACTGTGGCATTGGAGTATAACCAAAAGCATTCTGGTTTCCTGAGAAGGTATTCTTCTGATTGTTGCCATTAAATCCTCTGTTCCACTGTTGATTCCCAAACCTTTGGTTCTGAAAACCTCCATTGATGAAGTTAACATCTTTCTGCTCAATGTCTTCAGGATTTTCGAAACTCTCCACTTCTGCAGCAAATTGGACTGACTTCTTTCCCACCAAAAGGCTGTGCATGCTGTCCAACTTAGCCTTAACTTCAGCTATTTGGTTTCCATCATTCAAACCAGCCTGCTGCTTTCTCTGAAAATCTGCATTCTTAGTGCTATTACTGCATGCCAAGTTTTCAATCAATCTTACAGCTTCTTCTGGTCTGTTGGTGTTGAAGTTTCCACTACTTGAAGCATCCAGCGCCATCTGATATTTCCAGTCAATGCCTCTGAAGAAGATACCAAGCAGCTGCACCTGATTGAAACCATGATGAGGACAGTCCCTTTGATAAGACTTAAACCTGATCCAAGAAGCCTTAAAAGCTTCAGTAGGACCTTGTGTAAAGGATGCAATTTTCTTCCTCATGTCTTCTGATCTTGCATCATCATAGAAGTTATTCAGAAAGGCATTCTTAGTGTCTTCCCAAGTGGTCAATGAAGCAGGTTCCAGTTGCTTCAGCCAATATGCAGCCTCTCCTCCAAGAGAGTAAGGGAAAAGCTTGCAGAACAGGAAGTCATTGCTAACTCCAGTAGCTTTGACACTTCAAGCCAAGTCCTCAAATCTCTCTATGTGATCCATAGGATGCTCATGAGGTAGGTTATGGAATGGATGCTGGCCAACCAGCTGATAGTAGACTGGTTTAACCTCAAAATCGTTCCTCTGGAAGGCATGAGGTCGGATTGCAGCTTTGTTGGCATAGAACTGATCAGGTCTGTTGTAGTCACCTAGAGTCCTCTGAACAAAACGCCCAGCAGCGTTATTGAAAGCAGCAGGGACTCCCACGTTCTCATCCACTTGTTGAACCTGCTGTTCAACAATGACATTTCCCTGTTGATCAATTCTCTGCCCCTCTTCGTTTCTCCTGTTTCCTTCCCTGTCAACCAAGTGACCTTCTGCATCTTCAACCAAGATAAGTGGAGCGACCATTTTAGATTGCTTCTTAGCTTTCCTGTTAGTTCTCTCCAACCTAGCAAGCTCGTCGATGCTCAAAGTCACAAGCTCCTTCTCTTTGTTGCTTCTGGTTCTGCGATTAGGCATACACCTGAAACATGAACAAAGAAAAGTAGCAGAAAGTCAGTAAACAAATTAAAACTTAGACAAAATCCGAATACTAAAAATCGATAGGCAGCTATTACTCCCCGGCAACGGCGCCAAAAACTTGATAGGGTCAGGTTTTACCCAAATAAAAACTACTGCAAGTGCACAGCAAAGCAGTCGTAGTATAAGGGGTTATCGAATCCCAAGGGAGTATGTAAACTACACTAGCGATTATAGATTCAGATTAAGCTAAGCGATAAGTAATGAATGTAATGCGAAATAACGAAAATAATAAAAGCAAGTAGGCATTTTTGAGACTGTTCTTAAAGTTCAGAAAGCTAAATGCGCTAAGTCAGGACAATTCGCAGGTTGAATCCGAGAGTGTAGAATGCATTCAATTAGGAATGAATTAAAACCGTCTTGAACATGAATCGCACAGATATAACTAACCAATTCTCATTGCAGAAGTTATCTATGTCTAAATCACAGAGTTTCAAATCTCTTTGCAAACCCTAACAATCTAAACATGCAGTAATGATCAGGTTCAATTGTTCACAAAACTCCTAAGTCAAATCTCTTTGCACTAAGTTGTTTTGCTCATCAAATACTAGTTTAGGTTATGAATAATGCTCTCACATATATTTAACAACCTAGGGTTTCGAAATCCAGATGATGTGTCTAAGAAATCGATATGAATGCAAGCACAGATGAAGAACCACTGAATTTCCTAAAAGTTTTTAGCAATTCTACAAACTCTTCTTCAACCTTTGAAAAGCCCTAACTTAACTAACAAACTACTCAGACATGGTGATTTGAGAAAACATCATGAAAAGAATAGATTGCATAATAGAAATAAGAAGTAGAAATAAAGGAGTTCAAAATCTGCTCTGAAGGAGTCTAATTTGTCTCTCCAAAAGCTCTGCTACAAATCTCTCTTTTAAAGCTCTCAAAAATAATAAGATACAAGATCTATGCCCAAACAAATGGCTGAAAACCCTAATATACAAGCTAAAACACGATCTGGGGCCTTTTTGCAAATATTAGAACTTCTGGGCCAAAACTGCAATTTCTTCCCAATCTTTTAAAAACAGGCCACGACCCCTTCCTTTCTGGGTGGGTGACGAGCATCACCAAAAGTGGTGACGAGCGTCACCCATATGCATACTTTTCTTCCCGAGTTGGATACTTCGTGGCTTCAACTCAGAATGCTCCAAAAGGCTCCAATATCTCCAATTATGCTTCAGACATGCTGTAACCTGCAAAGACTCTTCTAGGACTCTAAAAAGACTAAAAAGACTCAATAAAAAGGACTTATATCATGGTTAAAAACCATAAAAACCATGATATATCATTTATGCAAATCAAGTAAACTCATTTGGCTAAGGACAAAATTATGAGATAAGAATGATCTCGTGTATGTAGTGGTTTATCTTTTTAAAGCAAATGATCTCTCAAGAAAGAAATGAGTTTTGACAAAATGCTAAAAGTAAAGAACAACCTATGCATATAAGGATAAAATTTCCATCTACCCAAGTACCCCATTATGAACTTAAACCCATATTATCAAAATCTACCAAGTTGCTCATAATCTACCTTTTTATCAAGACATTTTATCATTTTGATCATCAAAGTTTCAACCATTTCTCCTTCCTTTTGAACTCTTCGAGAGGCATCTTCTTCTTTTGATTCTTCTTGTGGTTTTGGATTTCTTCACTTTTTTTGCTTTGGCTTTTCTTTTTCTTCTCATCTTTTGGATACTTTTAGGTATTTTTGCTTCCTTTTCTCTTTCACTTGGAGCTATTTTTTGATATTTTGCTTGTAGCCAACCATCTCAAAGTGTTTGTCTCTTTTTCTTACCTTTTTTTTCTTTCACCACTTCTTTTTTTTATAAACTAAAACGAAAAGCCCCTTTTAAAACACCCAACCTAGCCTAATCTAGTTCAAAGAGGATGAACTAGTTCTACATGGAAATTTTTTTTTTTGTAGTTCTAAACTCAACACTTTTACTAAGCTCAGTTCAAAATAAAGTCTTTCATCACACACTAAAGAATTTTGTCTTTAAAGAATGCTTGTTTTAGAGTGGGATTAACTGTCCCAAAAATGGAAATCAGTTACTTAGATTAACAAGAGTGATAGAAAGATGAAGATATCCCAAATATGTATATGGTATCCATGAAAACACTTCTGATCGTTATTAATTCTAACAGGTATGCAAAACATTACTAACTTAAGACATGCAACTTGTAGAATTTTTCGTCCCTGCATAAATTATAAATAAAAACTCTTGAGAACTGACATATTCAAGTGGGAAAGATGAAAAAAAGAATTTAAAATATAGCGTTAATATCTTAAAATCCTTCTTCGATGTATTTGAGTTTGGAAAATCTGTATCAATTCTAGCATGTCATCTACTACTGAGCTTGGTTAGAGACGACTAGACTATATTTGCAACATCTTTGAAATCAATCGATTGTAGATAATAAGACCAACAATTGTTTTAGAGATTCTAACAAATCTAGATTCTTTTAGAGCATATGTAATGGTAATCTTTTAAAGGGTTTTAAAGCAAAAAAAAATAAAAAAAAATTAATGATATGGAAAGACTAAAGAATAAAAGCAGTTCTCTCCACAAAAGTGGAAAAAGCATCTCTCATATGACATGACAAAATGTGATTTGTCAAATTTTTTTTTTTTTTTTTTTAACAGCAATCGATTTTTTTTTAGAAAAAAATTTTAAAAACTTTCTATGGTTGTCTCTGCAATGCTGATTCTCTTAGTTACCTAAACATGCAAATAGCCGTTGGAATTGTAAACCACAATACCAAAATCTTTTAAAAAAATTGAAGAAAACCATTCTGCTTTGAAAAAGGGAATAAAGGGTCAGAGATAATAACGACATTGACTGCAGTGCCTCCCTTTCATATCTTACGTCTTAACGGCTCCATTTGCCTCAAAGTTCTAAAATTTTCAAAAAACAAAATAAATTAATTCCAATTACACCCCAATGTTCTTCAGAAATTATAATCTTTCCCCACGGTTCAAGAGGGCTGTTAATTTAGGCAAGTAACGGGGCTTTTGTGAATGTTTTCTGAAACACAAATAATTTATGCCTGTCAGTAATCGCATTAAAAGAAAAAAAGCAATTTCAAAACTACTCCCACTGTTCTTCTATCTTTAACAATATAAATCAATTTTAATTTGACCCCATCTTATTCAAAAGTTACAATCTTTACCCCTAGCTAATAATTTGAGAAAGTAATGGGGACGTATCTGAATATTCTCTGAAATTCAAGGATTTATGTCTGTCACAAATGGCAATACACACACATAAAAATTCTCAGAAAATTTGAAGTTTTGAATATTTTTGTCTTTTTACTCAAAGACATTCCCCTCAAAATCTCACTGGTTCTTGGCACAATTCTAATCCAATTTCTCTCTACTTCCCCAATTTTCTTTGGCAAATGGGTTGCTGTCTCAGTAAGAAATCTTCTCCTTCTCCTCCTTCGATTCTTCTCTCCAATGGTGTTAAATCCCCAGATCCCAAATCACCAATTAAACCGGTGATTGAGCTGCCGGAGAAGAATCCGTCAAGAGAAGAAGCGAAACCCAAATCTGAGAATTTACATCAAGAAGAAGAAAATGGTACGACGATGGAAGTATTGGTGATTAAACATCGGAGAAGCCATGAGAGAACGAAGAAGACAGACTCAGAGGAAGATGCTCCAGCTTCTACGGCGGCGGAGAAACCAATGGATTCGAACTCTAACTCAAACTCCGCCGTCGTGAGGACATCGAGCTGTACGAAAGAAGAGGTTGATGCTATACTGATACAATGTGGGAAGCTGAGTCAGAGTAACTCCGCCGCTAAAACCAGGAGATACTCTGGGTCAAAGAGAAGCTTCGATTTTGATCAGAACGAGAGGATTCGCGGCGGCGGAGAAGTGGAGGAGGAAGAGATGGTGGAGAAGAAGACACCGAGCCGGAATCGCCACCGTGGAGTAGAGAGAATGAATGGTTCGCCTCGTGAACGGAGAAGACGAACTCCGAGCAGAGAAAGAGAAGATTCCAAGAGTTACCGATCAGGAAGCAGAGAAAGAGGAAACGGCGGCGGTGGTGGTGGAAGCAGACGTGTGAGCAGATCTCCGGGGAAGCGATCGGAGGTGACCAACCCTAATTCGTGCGGCGGTAGTGGCATTTCGGTAATTTCGAGCAACATTAGACCGGGAAAGTTTGTTAAAGTTCCGGCGACGGATAAGAGCAACAACAACAACGGAGAGCCGTCGATAAAGCGAATTACTGTTAAGAGAAACATCGGAGAAGCTTGTAGAATCGCTGCGTCTCCGGCAAGAACAGCGGCGAGTAATGTTCAACCTCCTCCTCCTCCGCCGCAGCCGTCGTTAAGCCAGAGCTCTTCACGGAAGGCGGAGCAATCGCCGTACAGGAGAAATCCACTTGGAGAAATCGATCAAAACTCGACGAAAGGGGATAATTGCAACAAGAAGATGATAAAGAGAGAGAACGAATCCGCGAATCAGAAAAACGCGAAACCTCAAGTGATAAGCAGAAGCAGATCACTAAGGAAATCTCGAGATTTCGATTTCAGTCAAGAATCACTGTTGCAGCCAAACGAAGAAGAGAAGAACACGACGAGCAATTACACGGCGTTGTTGTTGAAAGACATTAAGAATTTCCATGGGAAGAGTAATAATGCAGATGATGATGATGTTGATCCTTCGGTTTCCTTTAATCTTCTTCCATCCTGTGTTACAAAGGCTTGCTCCATTGTTGAAGCAGTGGCGGATCTTAACTCTACGACGGCCATTAATGCTTCTTTGAGCTCTGATTCGAGACAGTTTAGATTCACATCTACGGCGAAGAAAGCGGATTTGATGGAACCAAGCTTTGAAAAGTATGTGACTGTGAAGAGAGGTGGTTCGTTGGAAGAGCAAGAATCTTGCGGTAGCAACAATCTTACGTGACCAAAGTTCGATTTCACCCACGATTTCAAGGAGTAACAACAAGAACCTCTCTTTGTTGTTGCAGTTTCACCTAAATAAAGACAAATTGTTGGTTGTTTGTTTATTTACTGTTCGGATATTCCCCATGTTTTTTGTTCACTTTGCTCATTTCATTGGAAATTTCTCTTCAACTTTATGATATTTTTGTCGAGGTAAAATGGTAGTAACGTAAGTTTTATTCGCAATATGATTTTACATTTCTCAAGGTACAACATAAATCTTTTATCGATTAAATAATATGTTTTGTGAGATAATTACTAATTTTAAAATATGAAATCATATTATATTAAGTTTGATACTATAATCTTTGGCAATTCTAAGGTTTCGAGATTTGGTGATTAAGATGCAATTATAATAAATACTAGGTGATTACCGTGCAAATGCACGGGTTTTGTCATATAATTTTTTTAAAATTATATATTTATGTAAATAATATAAAATAATATGACACAATCAGTAATAATATAAAAGGAAATTATTTTTTTTAATTATACATTTGTGCAAAAATACAATTTATTGACTTTTATATTTTTTTATTTTAATTATACTAAAATAATATAAAAGCTAATAATTTATATTTTTGCTACAGCTTTAAAACCAAAACAGAATCCCGTATTTTTTATTTTTTTATTTGTTTTTACATTTACATTTTATATTTTACATCACTATATACCTATGAACATAAAAAAAACTACAAGATTGCCCATTAGTTACTCAACATTTATTTTAGAGCTCATCTATAATTTAAAAAAACTTATATCTTCTAATCCCATTTTCTTTCTCTTATTACCAAGACTGCTCTAAATCTTTATCTCACATCATGTTATTGAGCTTCTGAGTTTTTTTTAGGAATTGGATTTTTTGTCTGATCAGTTTTGACCACCTCTTCTATTATATTCACATTTATCCATTTCATCAATTTCATCTTTAAAAAAATCCAAAAGAAAAAAGTAGCCACTTTTGTGATATACTAAATGTTTTTTAGCTTTAACTTTTGTGATATTGTAACTGGAAATATAGAAAATCCTATGTTTGGAAATTCACTATTTGTTAATTGGATGCTCGATTTAAGCCTAGTAATTTTTTAGAAAATTGCAAATAAATGGGAGAATACTTGAAGAGTAATTTTTTATATAATTTAATATTTTTAAATATTTTTATGAATAAAAATATTTAAATTAAAAGTTTATACACAAATTTTTTAACTAATATGAAATATGTGGAAATATAACATTGAAAGAGGCTAAGGATCGAAGACAACATTTGCCATAATCATCTTGAAGATTGAGAATTGAGATTAACAAAAAGAAAACAGAGCTAACTTGGAGATATTCTCTGAAAAATGAGTTTTGAGATCCAAGTTTTATGAAAGCAATGTTTTATTGGATCTGTTTGTGGCAGAGATCATAAAGATGAGAAAGAGAAGAAGTCTTAATCTGTAGAGAGAGATGAGGCGATTCCAACTATCTTGCTGCTATCATCATTCACCATTGAATTCTTAGAACAATTTGCTGTACGTCCCACACCAACTTGACCTTCCCGCATATTCTACAAAATACAATCATAACATAATTCATGTGATACTCTTATTATATACTGTATATCAATCAACATTTAATCGAGCAATGAATTAAGGGTGAACGAAACATCGAGGGCAAAATTAATTCAAAAAAAAAAAAAAAAACATCGAGGGAAGTCCAATCAAATTCACCCAAACTTAACACACTCATAAGCCTCGCAACCATTAAGTTAGGTCTCGATTTACCAGAAACACACCAAGAACAATAACAAACAAAAGCCAACTACAGATACCGATATTGACGGTCTCGAGAAAGAGATTGAGAACGAAACTTCTTCTCAGCAACAAAAGGAAACTAAGTTGGGCCACAAAACAATTGAAAAGGAGTTGGGCCACAAAACAAGTGGAAAATAGTTGGGCCTACAAAAGCAGCCAAAGCCTATTTTGAATGATCAATCTTCAACGGCTCTCTGCAACACAACTTGCAGACACGAGAAACTTAATACCTCTTGTTCGTACAAGAGTAAAGGACCAGTCGCTCTCAGTAACAGATTTGCCAGCCTGGAATCACATGTTGTCGAGTGTGTCTAGTTTCATATGTGACCATTAGGGTTTTCTCCTTCTCTATATAAATAGACAAAAGTTGTAATCTCTATGGTTAAGAAATCGAATTACAATGGTTTAAAGATAAATTTCTCTTCTTTATTCAAGCTACAAGCTTTGCTTCCTTCTGCCTACAACCGAGACCGATACTGCTAAAAATTGAGGCATAAAGAAAGGAGAGATTGAGAAGTTGTACCCAAACTAAGAATCGCCAGCACCGGGTTAAAGAATTGTCAGCATCCAGCGTCAGAGACAGTAGATCCACCGACTTTCCAAAACTGCAAACCATGATTGAGATCTCCATTCTCTGCTGATTAACTCATTTACACGGCGATTTCTACAAAACCACAGTCTAAATCGGTTTTACGTCATCACCGATCACCCCTAACTCGCCACGCTCACCTTCCGAGCAATGCTTTTTAGACCGTGTAATCGGTTCCTCGGGGGAGTTTTTGAACAAGCATTACAACCAAAGCATCAAACTTCACACAAAAAATACCACATTGAGGCTCAAAATGTGAGAATGACAAAAAAAAATCAGATCAGTATAAGATTGAAGTTATTTTGCACTCTTTCATTAGCAATTTCTGGCACCTAGATACGATCCAAACGTCTCACTAAAGAAAAGGGATTCTCTTTTACTATTGATTTCCAGATTTCTCAATTTTTTTCTCAATGGCAAGGCTTCTCCTCAGATCCTCTGTTTGTCTTCGTGTATCTCCTTCATATTGCTTCCAATCAACAACAAATAGGTTCACAAGAAATTTTTAGAATACAGATCGATTGAAGCAAAACCATTCTGATCCGAAGGAAGATAAAAAAGAGAAAGAAAAAGGATCTAACCTAGCCGACAAAAATCTATGGTGGCCTCGCGAGATGATGTGAGTGAATAGAGGAGTATCGTAGCTCTGACACAGCGGATTGCAGCTTGCTCTGTGATTGATTCGTCTCTCTTATCATCTCCTCCTTCATCCCTCTCCCTCTTTCTCTCTCTATCCCTGTCTCTCTATTTTGATTTAGCAAGCAGAAAATATAGATGAAGAAGAGAGTCGATTAATTGATCTGAGAGATTACCTAACTTCTTCGAAATAGAAATCTTGGAGGGAGATGGACATGGAGATGGAGATGGAGATGGAGATGGAGGGGCTTTAGTGATGGAGACGATGGACTTTGCTTACATGGAGACGTCGATATTTAGCTTGCCAATATCACAATAGCCATCTTTCCCCACTTCTGATTCGTACATCGATTATTTATGTGTTTCTTTAGATTTCAATTTTACCAAGTTTTTATTGAAAAGAGAAGAGCAATTAATTTTCGAATCAGACGCTTCGGCAGAAAACTATTTTCTGTTTGACTAAATTGATTTTTCAAAATATATAATATGTTAAGTTGCCCAATATTTTTTTTTTAAGCTGATGTATCATGAAAGGGGGTGCTGACGTGTCATCCCCTTGTGAGATACAACCCAACTTTTATATAATAGATTTGTGAGAAAGCAAGGCCGTTGGGAATCTGATATACTGGTTCATAGGTTATGAAGGTGATATGCACTATTCAGAGGCATGCCGGTGCTGAAAAAATTATTGGATAATGAATTTGTGTCAGCAAGGTTAAAGGTGGACTTCCTTCCCCAAGGAGAGGATAGGGAACTGGTGATCACGATTGGAAGTGAGGTGTTAGAAGTGATAAATGGTATGTGGAAGTAATATGTGATAGTCAAGGTATTGAGATGGAATATTGCCATTCTACTTTGAGTAGGAAGTTATAGGAGATGGCAGTCGAGAGGAACCATGCACGTAATGAGCTGTCATGCCAGTTTTTGAACTGAAAGAAGAATATTTAGCGGCTTTGACTAGAAGACTGTGGAGGGCGTCTGGGAGTTATCTCATGGTATACACATTACGCATACTCTTCGGATTTTGACCCGTTGAGAAATGTTACTATTACAATGCCAGTTTGGATGCGGCTGTCAAGTATCCCAATGAATTTCTACCATAAATCAATTCTCATGGGGATAGCTCATAGGTTAAATAAACCTGTAACACCTGCCTCTTATCATTCTAAGACGGTGTGCCACCCACTTAGCTTTCTAACCAAGTCACCACTCTTTCAACTCAAAACCAATACTCATTCATAAATAAAACTCAAATAGTCTTGCAAAACCAAACTTAAAAGTCAAAATAACCTCAATATATTCTTATAGAAAAGAAAACCATTTAAAAAGAAAGCTAAGTGTTTTAGGTCCCCAAGATCAAACTAATGAACACTAACACCACCACCATACGGCCACTGCTGCTGCTCCTCGCCACATACGAAAGAGGGAAAAGGGACAGGGAGGGGTTGGGGAATTACCCAAAAGAATACATACATGTGGTCCACCACACATATCATAACTGAAACATGTCGCTAACCATCAGCTAAATGAACAAGCATTCACAACTCTCCAATAATCAATAATCAACAAGCAATCATAATATATCTAAGTAGGAATTACATCTACCATAACCTCAACAAGCATTCACAACTCTCCAATAATCAACAGTCAACAAGCAATCATAATATGTCTAAGTAGGAATTGCACCTACCATAATCTCAACAAGCAATCCTATTAGGTCTAAGTAGGAACTGCATCTACCATAACCTCAACAAGCCTACAAGTGGAAATGAATCACTTTCAACTATCGGTATATGTAGGAACTACATCTACCGTAACTTCAAACAATCGGATAAATGGAACTGCATCACTCTCAGCACTCATGTCTAGGTAGAAACTGCATCTACCGTAACCTCAACAATCCGACAAGTGGAAATGCATCAGTTTTGGCTCCTAATGCAA